GCATGATGATAGCAAGAATCATAGCCATCATAGTAGCAACCACGACGGCAAGCTGGTAGAAACCACAACAATGCTGTAGTAGTAGTAGTAGTAGCAGCAGTAGTAGCAGTAGCAGCAGCAGTAGTAGTTGTAGTAGTTGTAGTAGTTGTAGTAGTAGTTGTAGTAGTAGTAGCAGTAGTAGTAGTAGTAGTAGCAGTGGTAGGGATAGTAGTAGTAGTAGTAGTAGTAGTAGTAGTTGTTGTTGTTGTTGTAGTAGCAGCAGTCGTCGTCGTCGTCGTAGTGGTAGTGGTCGTGGCATTAGATGAGTGTTGTTATCATTAGCAGCAGTCTTATTCTTATTTGTCGTAGAAATACAAGTAGACGTAGACAAAGAAGTAGAAGTAGTAGTCGTCGTCGTAGCGGTATCATGATCTTGTTGTTGCTGTTTTGCGGCTAAGTTGAGCATCCTTCTGGTATGAGACAGTTTTCCTGGTAAGTCGGTCATCCATTGCTGCCGGCCTCGTGGCAGGCGCCGCCGAGATTGCAGAGCGCGACCAGGATCATGTTCCTGAAGTCAAGGCAGCTTGGGTTCGTGGTTTGACTCCTTTCCTCTTTCGTCGGGGGTGATGATCCTTTCTGGGGTGTGCGCTCCTCGTGATTCAGGATACTAAATGAACCCAGAAACTGCAGCAACCTCCAAACAGGGCAAACACGGGCTCATTGATTTTATCTGGTGTCATGGCAGCTTGCTGTCATTAAGGATCTAGGAACCATTTTGGAACAATCCTCAAGTCGAGCCGGCGTTATACACGGACACAGACAACTGCAGGTGTTGACAACGCTCGGTGCCGCACTTAGATAGCGCGATATGCAGTGCATGCACTAGCATGCCAAGGGATATGCGGTCCTGGATCAGTGTCCACTTGACGGAGTGGTACTCCGAACTTATGCAGGAACTCTGGCGGGCTGCGCAGTTGAATGAGTCTTCGATTCCTTGTTGTTCGCCCGCAGCTTGCATGTGCAGTTGTAGCGAGACGTGAGCATGGTTAGAGCTCCGGCTCGAGCTGAGGCATGTTTGCGGTGCCTGTCACGGCAGAGCTGCAGCCTCGGCGGCTTTCTCTTCATCGTAGATCGGAGTGGATCGTTGATGCAGGACTACGATTGGGGAAATCCGGCAGAAGGTGCAAGAGTGGAAGCCGGAGTGACCTGATGCATGGACGGCTCCTGTCATCTGAGCTATGCCTGCAGTCAGAACTCGGGATAGGGTTTTCAGATCCGAGCTCCCTTAATTAAAACCCTGACAGGTACTCCCTGGAGCAAATCGAGCTGGTCTGCAAGGACAAGGATGAGCTCGCCTCAGGTCTTGCGCATGCGCGCCTTCCTGTACTGTATTTGCTGAGGTCTGACTGCTCTGCCTTGATTGAAGACCTAACGAGTCCCAAAGCCCATAGCCCAAACCCCAAACCCACATCCCAAACCAGACCCCGAAAGCCCTGAACCCCTAAACCCTAAAACCCCCTTGCAACCCTAAAACCCCCTTGCAACCCTAAAACCCCCTTCAGACCCTAAAACCCCCCCCAAAAAAAACCCTACCCTAAAATCCCCTGACAACCCCTAAAACCCCCTTGCAACTCTAAAACCCCCTTTAAACCCTACAGTAAAACCCCCTTACACCCCGAACAGCCCAAGACCCTCTTGAACTTCACCGGTGCCCAGGCCTGGGGTCCGCTGTTCAACAAGACCTCGCGCCCCAGGCCTTTCGAGAGCAGAGGGTTCTCTGAGGAACGGCTGTAGACTCTGATCTAACCTACCTACAAAACCATAAACGAACCTAACTATACGACCATACATAATCTAACCTAACCATAAGGCTATAGTCTGACTAGCTAGAAGACGATAGTCTGACTAACTATAACAAAACAAAATGGCATGCAAAATCGAATGAACCAAGGTATCGTGATTGGTGTCTTCCTACGGCATTCGGCATTCGTAATGCGTTGGCCGAGCCTTCCAGTAGCCGTGGAAAATTATAGTTGCTGTCTTGTGGCTTTCAACTTCTGATCTGTCAGAATTGTATGAAGCAAAGGGTCGTTGAACTGAAGATATGGTTTCAATGTTCGGAATCTCCGATCCTAGTTTGGCTTTGGGATCTGCCTCTGAGGGCCTCTGGGTGCTTCAGGTTGACAGCTCACACCCCAGGCCACAAGCTAACACCAGGCCGTCAGCACTCAAAGCACTACTGAAGCTTTCAGAGATGACTCAGTTTCAATATCCAGGCAGACTCAGCTTACCTCACACCTCTGCAACGTGGGTTTGGTGCTCTTCGGGCCCTTTGTTTGGGATAGGGGCTGTCGGGTATATGGCACAACAACCAGGGGCCTCCAAGACGAAGTCGTAGCCCCAAAGAGGCCGCAGGAAAGGGAAAATGAGATCCCCCCATGAGTCACCATGAGAGAATGCCTCTGTGTCCGCAGGGATGACGATGAGACCGTCCGGCCCCCGGAAACGACCAGACTCTGATCCGTCGCCGCCACGCGGTTGAGGGTTGGGGGTTTAAGTTTCGGGCTTGTAGTATAGAATCGGACCCTAAACCCTGAACCCTAAACCCCAAACCCTAAACTCTTGATTTAGGGCTTAGGGTTTTCCCAGAGTAGAAAATGGAAGCTACAGCAGCCCGGAATGGAGCCCCGCGAGGTGGAGTCCCTGTGGAGTGACTGGGACATCCCTCGACGCATGATGCAGGCATGGGCTGTTCATATCAGCTACATGTGACTTTAGGGTTTAGGGAACAACTTCGGGGTTTAGGGTTCAGGGAAGCCCTGAACCCTAAACCCTAAACCGGTTGGGGTTTAGGGCTTGTGAGTTTAGGGGTTTAGGGTTTAGGGAACAGCTTTGATGCATCATGTGGCTGAAGCTACCGCTCAGGCTTTGCAATCGTTTCGTCTCAGTGCCCCAAGGCCCCGGTCCCACAGGTCACTGCCTGACGACCCTAAAGGTTTAGGGTTTTAGGGGTTTTAAGTTTATGGTTTAGGGACTCCTTGATCTTTGTTGAACCGCAAACTTGGAACTTGAAGCCTTGAATCCCAAGGCCCTCAAACAAGCGAAAGGAGAGCTAAACTGTACCGGAGGTGGCCCTGTGGATCAAGGAGAAGAACGAGGAGACTGGAGAGTGACATGCTCAGTGCAGGTCACGGTGCCCCGATGAGGGCGTACGTAACTACATCACAGTGTAGTGCATCAGAAAATACTCGTAATGCTGTAATATGGCACAATCCACTACAACTCATTTTAGTTTGTAGACTGTAAAACGAAATCGCACACTTCGCTTTAAGCTGAAAACGTGTAGCAACTGGTGATTCCGTCGCCAGGGCCGGCGCAGCCCGCACAGCCACGCTGTGTAGTGTATACCAAGGTGGGAGAGCACTTTCTGGAAGATGCTGGAGGAGTCCAAGTGTGCTTCGTCAGCAGACAGACTCGCTGTGGTATTCGGTGCTCAGAGTTTAGCGACAAAGTCTAAATAGAAGTCATAAGAACAGTACTAGTCATCTTAGTATGTGAAGAGCATTAATATTGACAGACCCAGCATTTCGAAAGCCGTAGCAGCAGCGAAAGTTTTCTGAACACTAACTTACTGTGCGTTATGAGTCAGTTGTGTAGTTCAGGAGCTCTTGTCCCAAACCCTGTCATGAGCCCCTTATAAGCCCGAAGCCCTAGACTAGACCTTTGCAAAGCGCCATGGTGTAAGCAAGAGCCGCAACAGCTGCCACGTTGAGCCGGTTGCGCGAAGGTGACGATTGGAGCTTCCAGGGCCGGCATCCTACAAGCACTCGTGGTGTATTTTGAGGCATACTGTCACTAGCTCTCACTCTTTCTCTCTCTCTCTCTCTCTCTCTGTGTATAGATATACATATATATATATATATTATGTATATTTATATGTATTTGTTTGTATTTATGTGTTTATTTGTATAGATCATGTAGTCGATCAGCACATATATGTACATATGTATATGCATATTTTTCGATATTAATGTGTAATAAACATATACTAGGTTTAGCAAGTTTCTGACACTGTCGAGAGAGACAGTGCATCAGCAGCTTGTCAGTCGTTCTCTCCAGGCCATACTATCTGAGAGGGCCACGGCACTGTGATTAGGGCATAGCTTTGCAAAAAGTTGCACCTGCTTGCGGGCTGCATCTGAGATCCCAAGATGCGAAGAGTGTGCAGGGCCATCGAGGTCGTAGGCCACATGACAGACGAAACGAATGCTTCCGCCCCAGCTGAAAAATGCATCCAGGCAGCGTGAGGGTGGGGAGGAGAGGGAGTGCAGCGAAATGCCTCCGACAGACAGGCCTTGGTAGAGGCAGATGTGCAATAATGTGCACCGCGGTAACGCCGCCCTCGCGCATCTTATCGGCAGCCGATGTAACATGCTAGGAGTTCAGCTTTTCAGCCCGAGGCGCTGAAAGCCAAACCGTAAGCCCGACGCCCTCACAACCCTGGCGCTGCATACCTTTTGCCGGCTTTAGCGGCTCGGAGTTCTTGGCCCCCACTGAGAGCACCGAAGCGAACCTCAGCGGAGATGTTAGGCGAGCAAAACGCTGCCGAAGCGAGGCCTGCCAATGCCCCTTCAAAAGCACTCGTAGCTGGCTATGCAGAGGTTTTTATCACGTCTGGTTTCTGCGTCTTAGACTCACTTTTGGCTCTAATCGGCGCTGTAGAGGGTCTTAGCGTTGTCATCGGGTTTCGGCATGCTCTGTTTCTTTGAGGGAGCTGCGTTTTTGCACGGAGAAAGTTTCTGCCTGTTTCCAGGCCGAGGTCGTTGGGGAGGTTCCGGGGACAGACTTTGCTGCTGGTCTTGGGCCTCTATGTCGTGAGCCGGCGGTTGCTGGGTTGCTGTTAAGGAACTTAAATAAAGTTACTATAACAAGGCAAACCTAGTATTTACTATATACCCCCCAAAAATGGTGACGTAAGGAAACCCTAGTGTTTACTATATCTCCCCACCATGGTATCTGAAGGAAACCCCAGTATTTTTCTATATATCCCAACTATGGTGACTGAAGTTAAGTTAGCAGCAACCCAGGTTGGCGAGCTCCGCTCCGGTTCTGGGCGTTGGGGTGGGTCTCGCGAACCCGGAGCTTGGGCTCTTCTTGAAGAACTCAGGGTTTGTCTGGGTTTGGGGGTTTAGGATTTAGGGTTTTAGGGTTTAGGGGTTTAGGGTATAGGGGGGTTCAGGAGTTAGTCTTTTCCGGCAGTTTACGGTTTGGGGGGCTCTTCTTGAAGAACTCATCATTTAGATTGCCGTGGTACGGTTTCTGTAGATACGCTTTCCTTATGGATGATAGTAAGTCATCTCCTAGTGTTTAAACTACTTGAGAGCCAGGAACTCCAGGAGCTGGAGAACAGGATCACTCAGAGCAAGGTCTTCGTGGTGTCAAAGCAATGGTGCCCTTTCTGCCAGCGTTTGAAGTCTGTGCTGGGCGAAATTGGCGTCGCCGCGGAGGTGCTAGAGCTTGAGGACATGAACAAGAAGCCGCTGGTTAAGGACGAAGCAGCCGTCCTGGACTACATGCAACAGAGGACTGGCGCTCGCTCCGTGCCGCGGCTTTTTATAGCCGGCAAGTTCATCGGTGGTTGTGCCGCTCTCCGGCATTAAAAGCCGCAAGAACAGCCCCAATTCAGGTCGCGCTATGCTCTTCACGTTCACAAGATTTGGCATCCAGATCCCAGAAGCTTAAAATCCCGACAGCAAGCCGTATAGTATGAGCCTTGCGCAAATCCCTTAGAGTACCCCGTAAAAGCAACCCTAAACCCCTAAACCCTAAACCCCGAAGCACTCTTCTCTTCCCCCTTTCCTTTTGTTAAGGATGATGCCGTGACCATGGCAAGCTCCGGAGAGCTACAGAAGCGACTGAAGGAGGCTGGGGCTTTGTGACCAAAGGATGCAAAGGAAAGAGAAAAAAGGTGTCATCCCAGGACAGGGTTTAGTTTAGGGTTTAGGGTTTTATACTGGTGGTGCTTCGGGTTGAGAGGTATGGCATAGGGTTTATGTGTTTCAGTGTTTACGGGGGGTTGGGTGTTTAGGGTTTAGGGTGTGAGATTGTGGAAACACGATGAGGGGATGCCCCGTGAGCGTGAGGCTTCCCTGGACCCCCTCCGTGCAGCTTTTTGGGTCTGCAGCTAGCTGCCGCAGCATCACACAGGGATATGTCGGCTCCAGTGTCGTTCTCAACCACTCCACTCAAGTGCATGTGACATCCCATGACCTCTCATGCAAGCTTCGCAAGCTTCCTTCGAACCTACAACTTGACTGCAAGAGCAGGGAATCTCGCCGGAGGTAGACCGGCAATCGGAGCTCTGCCGCGCAGAACGGGCCTCCCCCGAGCCTCCGCCATCCTTTTCAGTCCGTATCGTTGCTTCAACGCCATGGCCGGATCAGCCCTGCTGCGCAGTTCTGCGATCGGCGGCCTGGTGCTGGCAGCCCTGCAGCTGCCAGGGGGCCGAAAGAAGCCGAAACGTCACAGGGGTGTGGGGACCACGAAGAAGCGTCTGAGGCCCTGGTGCCCTCGCCTTTCTGTCTCAAAACAGCTCTTGGCCGGACGCAGCCTCAGAGACACGGTCGTACAGTAGAGCCATGTCCGAGTTGCGCCAAGTCCATCCCTTGCAGCTTCGGCTCTTCTCTGCAAGACCGAGGCTGCTTGCTGGGCTACCTGGCGAGCGTCCTTGACGGCTCGGAGAAGCGACCCGGCTGCCGTCGGAGCCCTGAGAAGTCTGAGACGTGGCGAAATGTGCCGAAGCTTGCTGAAATTCTCGAAGTGAGGCAGAAGCCCCTGGCTGCTCAGGGTGGTCCAGCGCTTTTGGAACCAGGCACCGCCGAAAATGCGAAAGAACACGTTTGGGGAAACACCGGGCGTCCCAGGTTCTGCCCAGATTGTTCAACATCGATTGCAGCTTGGAGGACGAAGAGGCAGCCCGTCACACCTCTCGACCTAGTCTTGTGATGCCCTCAGCTTGCGAACAGGGGCTTCGAAAGTGTGGCCACTGCGTCGTCGCAGCCTTAGCATTTGCTGCTGTCACATCATCACCTCCTTCATCGCCATCATCATCACCACCACTTCAATAGTAACACAGCACCTTGTTGATACACATTTAGCTTGTTATCGTGTAATGCACTATCCTTCTCACTACCATAGTTGGCAGCAGCACCGGAGCAGCTTCACAGCGCTATTCTCAGCGGTGTTGGTGTTTGTCCTTTCTTCTGCTGCTCGCCATCATCATCATCATCAACAACAACAACCACAACATCATCATCATTATCACCACCAGCTTCGTCATAATCGCCATCACCAACATCATATCCATCACCATGATCACCGTCATCATTACCATCAAAATTACCATCATCGTCACCCTCATCATCATCCGTATCGTCAGCGTTATCCTGGAACTATCCTCGTGGCTCGTGATTTTCATCGTCATTGTCGTTCCATTGCCGCCACCACCACCCCGCACCCCTACCACCACCACCACCACCCGCCACCACGCGCCACCACCGCCACCGCCACCACCACCACCACCGCCACCGCCACCACCACCACCACCACCATCCCAGCATTACAGTACTGTGTGAACACGTGAACGACGGCAGGACGTCGACGTAGCAAGTTTATGCAGCTCAAAAACATCAAGTATGTACTTACTAACTAGCGTATTCTGCTTGACAATGTAGTGAGCACGGCGACCATTCACGAAAATTGTGAATCACTGTGACAAGACTAACGATAGGCAGAAAGGCAACTGTCGCGAAGACGCATGTCACTACTATGACTGTTGCAAGCTATTACACCGCGATGACCCTGACGGTTAAGATAGCCAGAGCTTGTCCATATTGCCGTCGCAATAGCCACAAAACAGTCAAGCATGCTGTGCAAGACGTAAGTGACAGGAGCACTCAGGAACAGTAGGCCCAGTCACAAAAACAACAGCAGCCGATTGAGCCTAGAGTAATCCCTCGAGCAAATTTGCAGACCTCTTTGGGGCCTAGGCCCAGCGAAATCTCACTCTGTCTCTTCTCGAGGTGGCCGTTCATCCGCACGGTGTTCTCTCTTTGGGTCACTATCTGGTGATCTCTGCCTGCCCGCCAGGTTCTTTGTTGTGCTTGCACCTGTGGGTCCTACAGTTTGATTGTCTCGATTCACGCGGATTCAGGCATAGTAGTAGTTGGCTGCCGCGACCGGTGCAGAACGGTGACAAGTTTTCCCCCGCAATCAGCTTGGCGATGTTCTCATCGGGTTTTCCCACTGGGTTTCAGTGCAGGCTGTGTCGTCGGAAGCTTGCTTGTTGCCCTGTACCGAAACACCCGGAACGTTTGCCCAGTTCCACCGTTGGGATTGTTGCCAGGGCTTCCATCCAGATCTTGAGAGGGCTCTGCCCGCAAGCAGACGCTGCGCCTTGAGTGTTGAGTCCTCAGCCGCAGTTCGAGCAGGAACACTGGCTTTCAGGTTGTGTTCCATGATCATCGCAGATCAGAACCTCGAAGCTCAACCTGCCTCCAAAAAGGCCGGTGTCTTGTTCAAGCTTCCTGGAGTGCGGGAACTGGCGCTTGGATTGGGATGCAGCTCACTGAGAATCATGGTGCAGACAGGGTTTCGGATTCGCTTCATGGTTGAAGGATGTTGTGCGAAGGCCTCTGTTCAAGACACGCCCGGTGCCAGCACATGAACTTGCAAAGAATAACCATAGCCGTTGCAGTATCACTAATGGCATGTAAACCCTACATCCTAAAGTACTTAAGCTCACCCATAAATTTCGCGACGGGCACACGAATCGTGGACCTTCGAGTCCTGTGATTGCTAGGAATGCTGAGTACGGACTGAGAGCTTTACTGCGCGGCCCGTGTGTCGAGCTGCGAAAGCGAGGACCAGTGGAACATGAACATAGTGACTTCCTCAAGGGCGGCGTTAATGATAGGATCATGGGTGCTGTAAGGAGAAATCGATCAAAATAACCGCAGCAGAATCCAGAGGTAGCATTTGACAATTGCGCAGACAAAAGCCCGATAACATGATCACAAGGGCCAGAGCTCGCTGAGGCGTTGATGCGCATCGGGATGTAGCCAAGAGGTGCCTGTCCAACGGGCGCGACCCTTGAATGTGGCCTTCCGGGTGCATCCAAGATATATAGATGATAGATACGACAATGTTACGTACTGTTACATCCATCGTGCATACTGCTCTTGCCATGTGCATGCCCATCAAATCTTGGCAAAGCGACGGCGTGCAGCGAGACGAGCATTCCAATCAGCTTCCAGTCCCTTTGCCTCCTGTACCTGCGGCATCACTTCCTCAAGATAGCCCGTGCCTGCCAAGGCTTAGCATATCTGTGGTTCCTGGCGGTGAGCGGGAGCAGCTTCTCGCGCAGCACGTGACCTAGATCTTCGATGATCTTCGTATTCTTCGCGTCTCCATGCGCGCTGTCTCGGCATTTCTGATCTCGGCATCTGTGTGCATATCGAAGTGAAGCTGCTCTATGAACCTCACTTGAGGCGAGGCAAAGTCGAACAGCTGGTTCTGGCTCAGCGGCAGGCGGGCCTTGCGGATCCATGCAGAGCCCCGGCTGTATCGGCACAATCCAGCGACTGCAAACCATGGAACAATACTCGCATACTTCAGATATTTGTAGAAGACCAAAGCAGACACCATGCAGCCGAGCATCTACTTCGTGTTCCACGCCAATCACCCTCAGCGGGTTGTTCAGGGTCAAGTATCGACTGCTTCTCCCCCCGATTGTAGAGCCGGCTGACCCTAAATACCGTGCGACAATTTCCATCCCAAGTGAGCTTCTCAGGGCTTCGTTCGCCTGGCCCTTCAGCATGGGGTGCCGTTTGCCGGGCGCGTTTGGAACACCAGGTTCAGGGTTTGGGACTGAAAAGTTTTGGGTTTACGGAGGGCTAAAGGTGAAACGTCTATAGGGATTAAGATTAAAGTGTAGGGCCTAGTGTAGGGCATAAGGTTCAGAACTTGAAGTTTGCCATTTAAGGCTTAGGGCTGCAAATGAGAAGTGTGGGGCTTAAGAATAAAAGTTTAGGGAGTAAGCTGTGCTTTCAAAGTTGAGGGGGTTTTAAGTTTGCAGTTGATGGCTTAAGGTCCAACGTCTTGGTTAAACGTGCGGATCTGAGTTAAAGGTTTAGGGCACGAGTCCAAAAGTTTTGTGCTAAAGGATAATTCAAAGTCCAGGGCTTTCGAGTGGCAGTAGAGGGATTGATTGAGGTTACCAGTCGAGGGCTTAAGCTGTTATGGGCACAGTGGCATGAGTCTCGTCTCAAAGCATTCAATACGTGCGTGCATGTATGAAACTGAACAGTCACAAATAGTAACATTATGGTGGGTACTAACTTTAGTAGCCGAAGTGAACCAGCAATCTACAGGTTCTACATCATGTAAGTTTCCGGTATGGACAGCTATCGGGCATCTACAGAGTATGCACAAATCGCACCATAACACGAAATGCCTTGGGTTAGCGATGATATCGCAACCTGATTTCCTATACTGAATCAGGCTCAGCAGATCACGAGCTATAGAGCCAGTTTACTCATGGCGTGCCATGTGTTAAGGGGTCGCTGTAAAGCAATATACGCATTCAGCAGGGCTGTGCTGCACCCACAGACCCTGAAGCTCCAACGCGCCGAGCTGCTACGAGTTATGCGCAGGCTATGTTTCGGAATGGAGGACCGAGGACCGAGGATAGGTTGGATATGCATACTTGCCTAGATGGCCACGAAAGAGCAAGTTCCGAGCCTTCCAAGCCTGATCTCTGCGCCCACAGCGGCCGGATACCAGCCGGAGCCATGGCGTTGGATCTGCAAGGGCCAGACTCCACGGGGTCAAGGCACTGAACTTCCGGTTTGGGGTTTAGGGTTTAGGGTCACTGAACCCTGATAAATCCTCTTGGGTTTCCAGCACTTCCTTGACGCTGCGAGATTTCGTCAAGGAGATTTAGGAGCTTAATCTTTAAGCTTGAGTTGCAAGGTGGGGGTTTTCTGTTTCAGGACAGGGTGTCAAGTTGAATGTTTCGGATGCTCGGGTTGAGTACAACAGGTCAAGGCTTCGGCAGATAGATAGATACGTAGGCATACATACATGATAGGCTACGGAATGAAATCGCCGAAAAAGTGGTGTGCATTGCAGATCACTCAAAAGAAACAGGACTTGTCTTGCAGATCCATCCACCAGAGTAGCTGCTTGTGTCAGCAAATCCGGGCGATTGTCTGCAGATGAGTCAGAAAACCAGCAGCTGCCTGTCAGAAAAGGGGCGGCCTCCAGTCAAAAGCGAGCAGCCGGGGAAGTTGACAGTAAGCCGCAGCTGGGTATGGAAGCGACCACGCATTACCTCCTCTTGCACCCACCAAGTAGTTGTAGGCTAGTTTACATTACTGTGTGTACTTCTCCAGAGATGGTTTGGACATATTTTATGCTGAAATGTCGGGCAAGTTTACACTACGTTTCGAGGAGCATGTCGTCGAGTAAGAGGTGCTGCCATCGCATAGCACTTCCTTGGTGTTTGCCGTTTCGGGCTGGGGCGCCTCGGAGTTTGGCTCTGGGGTTTGCTGACTGCCACTGTGCTGCTGATGACTTGCACCCGGCCTGCTTGCTGATTCTGCCCCTGATGTTTTGACTCTTTTTGCTGACTCGGACCCTGCCCATCATCCACGCCAAACGATGTTCGAATTCGACAACTCCAAGGACGTCTTTCGGACTCTAAGCATGGAATGCAAAAGGCCTCGATCGAAGGTTCGAGTGCTTCCGGATGACGCAAACTCAGGGAGTTGGGAACTTCGTGCTGTGATGTTGAGTGCAACGGAGGCCCAGACCGCCGTTTTCCCAGCGGCTAGCGGCACAGAAACTTAACGGCAAAAAGCCAGGGCTCTGTTGATCATTTGCTGGAGTTACGAGTTTCTTAGTCAACCCGGCAGCCGGGATTTCGGTCTACCGCTTCACAGGACCTTACAGAGTTGAGGATTTGGAGTTGCACAGCCGTTTCACGGCATCCTTGCTTTCATCCTCCAAGTCTTGTCTTGCGTCCGGCTTAGATGGTACCCGATCCTACACCCTACGCAGCTTCTCACAGATCGCTTGCAAGGGAGGCTTTCCAAGGGTAGGAGATGTTCCATAATTTTGCATCTTTGGCAAAGCACGACTCCAGGAGCTTTTTCAAGATTCCGCTGTATGCACGGATACCAAATTTCAGGTGAAAGTCTGCAGCATTTTAAGCCTATGCCCGCACCAGTCTTTGCTTAACTTATCTAGCCTGCACCTATATTACCCTTAAGCCTAACGCCCGAAGCTGCAAATGCCTTAGCTCAAAGTCTTCGTCCATCCAGACTGTTTGACATCGAGGTTGGCGGTGGCAATGCCGGAGCTGGGCTGGAGCGCTTGGGCCTTATACAGCGGTCCCGTCGCAAGAACAGTGCCGACAAGCCCAGCTTTAGGCAGGTAATCACTGTTGCTGTCGTCGTTACTATCATCATCGTGAGCATGAGCACAAGGATCTGCAGTAGCAGTAGGATGTTCTTCCTGATGGTCGTAAGCACCACCACTACCATCAGCGTCAGAACTGCTGTAAGAACAGGAGGACCAGCAGCAAGAGCATTCACAGCATCCACAAAGCTGGAACGAGAATGTTCTCATAGTCAGAACACGATTCTCCCCATGCAGTTAGTGCCCCCTGGTTCAGGATGAAAAGACAGCCATACCCGCAAGCCATCACTGCATGGCCCAGCCCAACACGCCATCATCGCCCTGCCCCTGATCATCGTGATCGTGTTGACATGTTCATACTCCCCAGACTCCCCGAAACCGGCAACAACGTCGTGCGTGAGTTCGCCCAGGTGTGCGAGCCGCTGTTCATGCCTCTCTTGCTGGAGCTTGAGGTGCGAGCCCGAGGACTCCTCGGGAGAGGTCGCAGGGTTTCGGACTGGGGGGCTGTTCCTAAACTCGGTTGGAGGGCCGTGTTTGCCATGAGGTGGCCAGTGTCACTGTCTAGCCAGCGCAAAAGGATGTCTTGGGATGCGATGGCCGCTAGTGCAGGGTGCCGTCAGCCTGGATATCATTGTCACAAAGCAGCACTGGGCAAACGCGACATCTTCTGCCACCGATCAGTGCGACGACATTGCTTGTTAATGTTTGACCTGAAGCCGAAGTCAATTCGTTGGTGCTGGTGCCGACAACGAGTTTGTCATTGTACGACATAATTGTGCGACCCTTGCTGCGCGGCTTCTCTTTGGTACATACTCATCAGATCCGGGTTTCTATGTGCATATGCACACATCAGTGCATATATCGCAGTCTCTGAGCATACAAAAACTAGAATATTCACAGACACAAACACCTGCGAACTGTATTGTGCATCGCTGTTTCATTTTGGTTCGCTTGTGCGCATGCAGTGTAAGGTGGAGGAGGGACACTATTTTGAGGTGGTTACGTATATCTAACGTTCTGTATGGATGGATGCACGCATGCATGTGTGATAAATGTGTGTTTGAAGGTGTGCATGGGTTATGTGCCTACATTATCGTGTCATGCCTTCAGGGATGCCTCTATGTACATGTAAGACTGCATGCGGCTATGTATGTAGGCAGGTATATTTGTATGTGTGCAGGATGCATGCATACTGGTATGTAGGCATGCACTGCATGCGTGTATGTTCGTATGCATCTGTTCATGTACGTATGTATGTTTGTATGTATACATGCTTTCTTACACGAATGCATGTGTTTTCCTGTGCCAGTGCACACCTGTGTTTACATATACTGACATACAGATGTCTATCCCCAGACTGCCTGTGGATCTATTGATCTGTCCCTGAAGTGCCCCTCTATATAGTCAGCTGACACGAAGCGTGCAGACAGAGTTGTCCAAGGCTTCTGTATTTCGAAAGGGCTACCTGGCATAAAGGACACATGATCTGCACACCGAGGTTCCAGATTCCTTGCTCGCAGTTTGCTGGGCCTTCCCCTCAGTCGACTTGCACTTCTTTCAGCTGGGCTCAGCATGGCGGCTTTGGGCTTCAGCCGTGCATTCTGTATGCAGCCCGGAGCTTCGCAAAGAATCGTTGCAAGACCTCAACAGAAACCTGACGCCTAAACCCCCTCAGCACGTCACGCATCCACCAGTGCAAAGACCAGGTGATAAGCCCCGCTGCGGGATTAGTTTTGCAGCCCTGCGTCGGCACTTTGAGCGACAAGTATGGAAGGACCCGAGGGTTCGGGCGCTCCGAGGTTTCTGTGGGAGGAGATTGGGGATAATTCACGGTCTAAACAGTATTCTGTATTCTGGGTTTAAAGTTGGTCCTCGATGGGTTACACAGAAAGATTTCGAAAGACAATCAATACCTGTCACTCCAGATTCCTTCCCCTAAACCTTCAACCCTTCACAAGGAGACCCTTCATTCTGCTCTTCGGGTTCATGGCGGTTGTCGGCCTGACAGACGCTCGGCTCCTGAAGCGTAGGTTGCTAATATACGGGCCTAAATAATTAATTACCTACACTATTTTTTGGGTTCCGGTATTATGATTCTAGTATTTCATATACCCCAGAACCCTATCCAAATTATTAAGGCCCCTACATTAATGTAGACCCCTACCCCTAACTTTTAAAAGTGATTGTGCCGGGGATCAACTGGTAAGCCCTAAGCCTGAAGCCCTCAACCCTACACCTTAAACCCCAAACTCCAAACTCTATAAGCAGAGAGAGGGGATCGCCCTAAACCCGAAACCTAAACCCCAAACCCTCAACCTAGGCCCTAAACCATTCACCCTAAAACGTGTTTGGGCTTTGCAGGGTTTCAGCTTCATGGGCTGGTATGAAGCGGTTGAGGGCTTAAG